ATAATTTATTATCTATGTATTATTTTTTAATGTGGACAGGACAGAAAAAGAGCTCACACACAAGTGCCCAAACACTTGCAACAAAATCAGAAAAGAGTTTGAGATGGATCAAAGTCTGAAGAAAGAAAGGAACTGATGACGATCCAAAGCACTCAAAGCTCATCTGTGAAGCACGGTGCAGGTGAAGTCATGGCTACTTCTGGAACAGGCTCATTAATATTTACTGATGATGGAACTGATGATAGTAGAAGCATAACCAATTCTGAAGGCTACAGAAACATTTTGTCTGACAAATTACAGAGAAATGTAACCAAACTAAACAGGAGGAGTTTTATCATGCTGCAGGACAATGATCCAAAGCTCACTGCCAACAAGACAAAGGACTTCATCAGGGATTTAGATTGACCACGTCAATGACCTGACCTGAACTCAACAGAGCATTTCACCTCCTGAAGAGGAGACTGAAGTAAGAAACCCCTCGAACAAGAACTGAGATAAACTGCAGTAAAAGCTGAAGAATGCAACAGTTTAATGTTGATGGGTCACAGGTTTGAGGCAGTCATTACAAGCAAAAAGTGTACCACCAAATATTAAATGTTATTTACTTTAAAAGTTTGTTCCTTTACTTTTGCTCACCTAAAATGCTGTAATGTAATACAAACTGTGACATATTCTAAGTTGTTTAACACATCTACATATATAAAAAAACATAAAATAAAATCAGACATTCAGAACCCTTTTCTCATCTTTTGATCTGAAACTCAAATGTCTTCAGTGTTTAACAAAACAAGAGAACTTGTCTTGTTGTTCCAATACTTTTGGAGGGGACTGTAACAACATGAAAACAAGCAATAAGGTTTCTAAAACAGTTAAAAGTGAAAATTATAGTAGACTTGATGTTATATGTTTAAGTAAAGATTAGACCTTGATGTTTGAAGCTTTATAGACAGAGAATACTTTTCCCAAATGAATTATTTGCTTCTACTAATTAATTGACAAGAAACCCAGATTAAAAACTGTAAGTTTTTGTCAGTTTGGTGTTAATGTCTTGGTCAGATTGTTTATTAGTAATTTTAATCTGACTGCAGGTCAGAAGAATTATCTCAAAGTTGCCTCGGCTGTTTAACCAGAACAGTTCTGTGAACACTTTTGTGTGTTATGCCTTGATTAGGTGCAAATGTCAGCTCACCAAAGTTGCAGACAGCTGTCTCATCGGAGGTGAAGGCTTGGGGTGCCGGACTCTGACATCCAGCCCGATTCAGATCTGCCCATGGGCCATTACGAAGAGTTTTGTGCAGAACCAGACTCTGGGACGGCTCGGCTTTCTGTCTCAAAACAGCACTTTAAAGGACACCTCCCGCCCCGCTCTTTTGCTGTAAAACTATTTCCCTTGGATGGTTCCTCGTCCATCTCTGGTCTCTTGAAGCTTTCAGCGTCAGCAGTATTCAACTCAGAACTGTTTTCTTCCAGTTTGCACTCAGCGTTCAGCTGTGTGTGCTGGTCACAACAAAGATACCAGGTTTCTGTCACAGAAGTCAACACACACACACACACTCACACACACACACACACACACACACACACACACACACACAC